TCAATCCTACAAAAGCTAGCCATCTTGGAATGAACCCAGAATATCTTCAATTAGCCACTAAGGAACTTGCCCAACTACAAGCTGAAGGTCTTATTGACCAACAACTTCTCAATAGGCGTGTCAGATATTTTATGTTAACAAAAGAAGTGAACAAGTTCGAGGAAAAATCAGATTGGTCATTGACTACAAGCCGTTAAATGTTTTCCTTGCAGATGATAAATTCCCTCTCCGGCACGAGCAAGACTTTTTTATTATGTTGATTGACTTATGATAAAATCCAACCATGTACAACGCTTCTGGTGACTTACAATCAAGAAGCACCGATCCTTTTACAAAGTTGAGTTTTTTGGGACCTCAACACGACCCACAAGTTTGAATTTACAGTTTCGAACTTTTCCTCTCAATAAATAATATCTTTACAATGAGAGAAAAATAGGCAAATAGATGGCAATGAGTATAGCTCAAAGTGTTGACTTGAAAAACTTTTATAAAGTGGCTGAGATCAATAAATGTTTCTCTTTTTATGCTCAAGAAAAAGTTTTTACAAAAGAAGAATGAGATATTTATGGCTCTCAAACAACCAGAAGTTCTGGTCATACGGACACGGCATTCGGACGTCCGGATAGAACTAGCTGTTTGAGTTTGCAATGATTTAAAAGGTGACCGCTGCACATCCAGACGTCCGATTGGGCACAATTTGCCCNNNNACGTCCGATTGGGCACAATTTGCCCCCGAATGGTCTCTTTCGTGACAACTTGCTCAAAGTAGGCTTTTGAAGGACTACCTCACTCAATATTTTCAAAGGTAAGTGACTTAGTGAGATTTTATACATCGAGTAAAAATACTTACCAAAAAAAATAATTTTTATGCAATCATTTATATCTTTGAAAGAATTTGCTTTGAATTTTTAATGATCCATTGCTAAATATTGAAGTATTTTACCTTTACACGTATTCAAGGTATCTACATTTAATATCTCGATATTTGACATCCGACTATTTCTCTGTGAGCTCGACTTTCGTCTTTACCTTCATTTGTTTGTCAGGCTAGTTTCCATGTTGATTGTCAAGTAGCAACTCTCGTGATCTTGATCTCTGTGTCTTCAATCTTATTGATATTGCAAGGATCTCTCTAAAACACTTGAATGCAATTTGTTAGAAGTAAATGTAATTTGTTTGTGATAATCAAAACGAGAGGTCAACCATAGGTAAACAATTTATGCCCTTTGGTCTAAAGACTGCCCCTTCTCTTTTCTAGAAAGCAATGACAACAATTTTTGATCCATTATTGGACACAAATTTGTTTATATTGATGATATTTTGTTATTTTTTGAAGATGAAGAATCTCACGAAATCTACTCTCCAGATTTACAGATCTTGTTAAGCATTATGGTATTATATTTTCTCAAAAGAAAATGGTAACTGGTGTTAGAAAAGCTGATTTTTTAGGCATGCATATTAAAGATGGCCAGTATTCACTCCAGCCTCATGTTGGCCAGGAACTTCGTAAGTTCCCAGATGAAAATTTGAAAAAAAGGAAGTTTAACAGTTTCTTGGAGTTGTTAATGACATGGCAGATTTTATTGATCATCTTTCATCAATCATTCGACCGCTACAACTCGTGCGTAAACAAAATTCGTCTCATTGGTCATCAGCTCAAACCCAATCAATCAAAACTATTAAACAAAAAGTCAATGATCTTCCAGCTTTGCAGATCCCTACATATGGAAAACGCATCCTTCAAACATATGCAAGTGATAAGAAAGACTGGACTTGACACACTTAGCGATCTTGGATTTCATCCAGACTATCTTTTTTTTCACACATTTCCGTTTTGATCCAAAACACATAATACTAAGATTTTCAAAAGAAACTTTTTGTTTTCTTTGATACCTTTTAGAGCTTTTACAAATTGGAATTTCTTTTTATGTCACTGAGGCACTCGATACATTTTGTCAAATGAATTTGGATTTTTTTATACAAAACAGTTGATCATTTTGTAAAAAAAAAAATTTTTTAATGGTTTTATCCAATTTCGCACTGGATAAAAATATTTCAAGCATTTTCTTTAAAATTTAAAGATCTCAGAACTTCTAAAAACAATGTCTATGTCAGTTTAAATTTTCAAAGACAAGGTTATTTCACTGAATCAGGAACGTATGCTCATTTTTCTCATGTTAAGGAGTATGCAGTTCAACCATTCAACATGCATCAAAATTGGGAGCACTATCCAAAAGAATTTCGAGAATTCCAAAGGCGTATGACATAAATTAATCAAATAATTTCTACACAAATTTGACCAATTATGAAGATGACGCACCATGGGAAGCTTTACCAGTGGAATACACTCAAAAGATCCAACAGGGCATTCAAGTTTATCAAGAAACAAATCTTCAAAGATTTTGCATTGTGGGAGATCCAGAATATGACTATGCATATGATTATCAATTTGGACAACTGTATCAGGGAAGGCCCACACAAATTCTCGGTGAAACATCAAAGT